GAAAAAAAAAACAAAGAAAAAGAAAAGTCCCTTTGCATAGTCTGGGAGCATAACCCCTCCTCAACCCTAAAACAAGAAACTTGAGTAGACAGAAAGCCCAATGGGGGTGTGTGTGAGTCAGAATCAAAGGGTGTGGTCAATAGGGGTGTTTAGGTTGGACAAAGTGTCTGGACTCATGGGTTTGGGAAGGATCAAATGCCCAATGATCAGACCTGTTCCTTTCTTCAACTAACTCTACCATGGTATAGAGAAAGCCAGTGATAAGTAAGGCACAGCTTAGGAAGGCCACATGTGATCCTGAGAGGGCCTGGAGGTATCTATGTCCAGGGAGTATGGCCAACTCTGAGTTCATTAGCCTTTTTTGAGGTCAAGTTACTACCCCACCAACCAAAAACTTTCTCTTCTCATTTTTTTCAGTTGAAGAAATTGTGATGTACATGGAATGGGTACTTAAGCTGCCCAAAGTGTACTAGCATCAGAGATAACATGAAATCCCCTTTTTATCTCTTATCTCAACTGTTGTCATGAAGCCCACATGGCTCTAACACAGCCCTGAGTTCCCCATTTCCCAATAGCTGTTGAGATAGGGAAAAAAAGTGGCTGGTTTTTGAAGAACTTGAAGAAGACCAGAAAGCAAACTTCCTTTTTTTCTACCATCTCCCTGGATTGGGTTTGGTTTCGTCTTTCTTGGGGACAGAGGGATGACCTACTTCCTACTTCGGGCATTTATGAATCTGAAAATAGTATGTTCTTTTTTATCAGATGACTCTTTTGACTGAATCTTCCATGGACTAGTTTAGGTGAGGAAGGCAGCAGGGGACAGGGTATATGTACTATATTGTATTGGAGACCTCCTCTATCTTGGGTTCCCTCTCACTTCTTTATTTCATGCTTACTCTATTAATTTTCCTGGGGAGCCCAGCCCTTGTCTTCACTGTGCTGGATCCTCCCAGCAGGATAGGGATTGGGGCTCATTAAGATGGAGCATCGTGAAGCTGCTGACAGTCCTTACATATGTTGATGACTCAGTATAACTCCCTCTCTGAAACTTAAGTCTCTCCAGATGTTGACCTCAGCAATGAAGAAAGGCCCCCTTTCATTGTGTTCTCCCTGCTCACTATGCCTGTCTACTGTGCTGCTGTTTCTCTGCTTCTGGCTGGGAGGGAAGAGGTACAGAGACCTTGAAGGGACCAGGATGGGATGGGGTTGATGTTGGAGAGTTCTATGCCAGGAGGATTTGGTGATTGATAGGAGGTAGTTTCTGAGGTCAAACCAGTTCTAAATTCTAAAGTGACAACAGAGACCAGGTTTGGAAAGATAAGGGGAAAAGGTTATGCTCAGTCCAACACATCTGGGGAGACTAGAGAGGGCTGCTACGGTAACATCAGTCCCTTAAAAGCTCCTGAGGTTGATCTCCTTGGAAGCTAACAAATCCATTTTAGAAACTTCTCTTTCTTTGTTAGTCGGTTTGCTCACACCTCTCCTGAATCCATTCCCCGAGTTTTCTCCCTGTGGTCCCTCAGGAGCAACTCAGAAGAATCTGATGATAGAGGCTGTAGAGTGAAGAGCATGGAGATATTTCATAGATTTGAAGATATCTTTTAGGGTAATAAAAATCCAATTTGTCAAACACTTGTTGTATCCACTATGTGCACAGAAGGCAGTGTCCTAGGTTGTTGGGGTTATAAAGACGAAAACCAAAACAGTGCTGGCTTTATATTAATATTAGAAATATGTACAGAAGAAAAATACTGATATATTGATGATGGAAAAGACATTAATGCTAGAGGGGATTGTGGAAAGGAATCATGGAGGAGATGGAGCTTTGAGCTTTGAAATAAGGATTCTAAGAGGTGAGCATTTCATAGATAGGGGATAATTTATATGAATGTAGTGAGATAAGAGTTGAAATTCTAAGGTCAAGGAGTAGTATACATAATTTTCTATGTTTGGCTACATGGTGGTCAGGATGCATGATGTAAGCTAGGTGAAAGAAAACTGGAACTTTGTTAAAGTCAGGTGTGTTAAAAAGACACACACAGTACCTGGGAAGACTGAGGATCTAACAACAGTTGTGCCTTGAGCCTGGGAATTTTGAGCTGCAGTGGGCTAAAATGTGTTAGGTCTATTTATGTTAAGCCTTGGAAAGCAAGAGGGGTGGGGGTTAGGGGGAGGCAGGAGGCAGAAACAAAGGATGTCCAGGTCAGGTCAGGTCAGGTCAGGTCAGTAATGGACCAGATCAAAACCTCCATGCTAATCATTAGTGGTATTGGACTTTTGAGCAGCTGCTGCCCTTCCAGACTGGACAAGATAGGGAATCCCAAGTCCAAAAATATCAAACCAAACAACACCAACAGCAACAACAGTGAAGTCTCCAAAATTGAAAACAGGAAAATTGAAATGTTAAGTTGGAGCCAGATTACGTAGGGCTTTAAACATTCAACTTAAGACAATTTTTGAGTTATCCTAGAGGTGATTGGAATCTCATTTTAAGGCTTTGGAGCAGGAAAGATGATTAGACATTATCCTTAGGAAGCTTATTTTGGCAGCTGTGTGGAGAGGAGTGGCTTAGAGCAAGAAAATCAGTTAGGAGATTATTGAAATAGAAATTTTGAGTTAAGAGTTGATCTTCATAATAATCGACCTATTCACATGAGGAGAGACCGAGACCAAGAGAGGTGAGGTGACATAGACCACCTAACCAAAGCTGTGAGAGAGCCAGTTTAACTCGACTCCTATCAACTTTAGAATCAGAAGGGGAGGGGGCATTGTGGCACCTTCATTCTGTTCTTATAGATCTTTGAGGACAGCTGTGAAAGATGGGATAGTTTAGGAGGAGTTCTGCCTGGAGGTAGGGAGCGTGGGTCATCTCTGGAGGTGCTTGCTATCTGATCGAGATACATACTTTCGAGATTCCTATAGATGTGACTGTGCCTTCAAACCCTTATAGTTCAGGGGCCTATAGAGAGATTGTAAAGAAAGAAACAAACAAACCTAAACCAAGTAAATACTTTTTGCCTGAGATTTTTAGGAAATTCAGGGAAAATTGTTTTGCTCCCCCTCCCCACCTCAGTTTATGATACTATAATTTTTTTTTTCAATTCTCTGCTTGCCTTTGTGTGGGGATGTATTAGCACCAAATTAAATTTCTGGCCCAAGAGGGATGACTTCGGAAAACAAAGGGTATTTTATCTTTCCTATTTTCAGAGCTCTACATTAAGCAAATGGATAAAAACCGCAGACCTGTCCTCCCTCTTCCTCAGCCAAATGCTGATAACTATTAATGCAGAACGACTCTGTTAACAAATAAGCACAAGGCCCCACCACCCATATGTGTCAGAGGTGGGATTTGAACCCGAAGTGTGTCTTGACCTAAGTAGGTGATTGCTACATATCTTGTTCATAGCAGCAAGCCTATCTATACGTAAATTTGGCTATTTATTGAATTCCTTTAGGGCAGAGGACCTAAGAAAGCAATTGAATTCCTCCCCTCTCCCTTCCCATTAGAGCGATGGACCTCATTGGACAAATCCACTTAAATCAGTATGAGTCTCAGTTTCCTTAACTGTAAGTTAAGGAGATCAGATTCAACTCTCTAGAAAACTAGCCTCTGGAAAGTGAAGCTTAACCACTGATACCTACTGGACAGGCTAGTGTAGGGCAACAAATCACTTCAATATTTCTAGATAACTCTCTAAAACTACATAAATTAGTTCATACAATATGGTGCTGGCTTATATTTGGTAGAGGAATTTTCCTCTCAGTGAGACAGCTCCACACACCAAGGAAATCAATCACATGTCTGTATACCCTCCCAAAATTGAAGTTGAAATAAATTTCACCTCCCATCTTCCTATGTTGCATATGTATGAAGCCCCAGGTATGTACATGAATGGAAAAGAGTTGTATTCCTAGAGGGTTTTGCTAAGCTCCCTTTCAGCTCTAAATTAGTGATCAAAACTTCTTCCATCTAATTTCTTGAGAAGGTCTTGACTTCTAGAAGGTATGATTCCCATAGGGTCAGAAAAGGAAGATTATAGTATGAAATATATATGTATATGTATATGTATATATACATATGCACATACATATGTATATATATACATATATGTATATTTTTATTATCTAAAATATCACTAAAACTCATTCCTCAAACTAATAAGTTGTCAATAAATACAGATTTGCAACTGTCTCTCCTCCTGAAATAGGAGAAAGGTGGGAGGGATGCAATTTGCATTACGTAGAATGGTAAAATAATGTTCAAAAATTTCCATGCAATCTTGCTATCTTTTGTTGAAGAAAATTTCCACCTCTAAAAATCTTTAAATTAGGTAAATATTGGCTTGCTTAACATTAGAAGCACCTGTGGCTGGGTCATTAAGGAGGTCCCCTTCTAGCTCTGGGTTTCTATGGAATGGCTTTGAAACTCATACAAACTCAGAGAATGTCAGAGCTAAAATGAGACCCTAACTTTGTAAGCATAGTACCTCAGGGGTTCTTCTCCAAATAATGTTTTATAAATGAATAAAATACCAATTGGATTATAGAGAAAACCAATTAATTTGAAATGATGTTTTTTCCTCAAAGAATATCAAAAGCTAAAAGGAGATCCTAACTTTATAAACATAGTACGGGGGTTTTCAACCTTTTTTTGTGTCATGGATCCCTTTGACAGTCTGAGGAACTCCTCCAAATAATGTTTTATAAATGCAGTAGTAGAGGAAGCCAGTTATTTGGAAATGTGATTTCCCCCCAAGTTCGTGTATCAGCTTGATGTCTATCTTTGTACCTTTTGGGTATCTCCATGGACTCTAGGTTAAGAACCTTGGCATAGAGAGGTTAGTTTAGCAGACTCTCCTTTTACATTTGGAGAACTCATCACTCTCAATATATGTCCCTAGTATCTGATATGGGTTTTTTTTTCAAAGAAATGTATCTTATTTTTTGTACTCTCTTCTACTCCGGATATAAAGAAAGAAACAAACTCCCAGAGCCTTTGCTTGTGTGCTGCAGTGATCAGATTTTATTGATCATAGGTTGCTGATACTGGGTGGGCTTGGGGGGCTCATGAGATGTAAAGTTGCAGAGATGTTCTGGTTGGTCCTGTCCCTTCAGAGGTGCAGGTGGAAAGCAGAGGGCAGTGGTACCATAGAGAAACATGGGCTTCCTCAGCAAATCACACACTCTTGTGGTAGTAATAATAGCAATTCACTGTGAGGAAACAGAGGCAAAGTCAAGGTTAAAGGGGGTCTGGAGGCACTTCAAGAAGGTTTAGCTTTATTTCCCTATAAACCCTTTGCTATTTGCCATAGGATTTCAGGTCATAACATATTTCTGGATGTTGTTTCCCAAAGTGGGAAAGTGAGAAGGGTTGGTGAAGGCAGAGAAGAAGAGTCGTGGAAATGGAATGGATTGTTTCTAAAGGTGGAAATTGGGATCCCCATCAAGATTCAAGATTATAAGATAGGAGGAAGGGCATGAGAATTGTGCCTTGGCAAAGGTAAAAAGCTTTATTTCACATAGGGAAAAATGAAATCAGTTGAAGAGAAAACTTAATATAGAAAGTACGGAAGAAGAGTAAATAAAATGAAATTGCTATCTCTATCTCTAGAGGTAGTGACTGGGATTCCCCATCATGGTTCCAAGATATAATAAATAAGAGGGAGGGAAGGGTTGTTTTTTTTTTTTTGCCTTACCAAAGGTAAAACCTTTTAACTCTAACATGGAACCTATTTTTCCAGCTTCCTCTAATCATGGTTTTCTGTACTCCTACCCAAAGCCACTTCACTAGCCTCCTTTCTGGAGGCAGCTAGATGGCACAGTGGATAAAGCAGTGGGCCTGGAGCCAAGAAGACCTTAGTTCAAATCCAGCTTCAGATATTTACTAGCTGTGTGACCCTGGACAAGTCACTTAACTTCTGACTTAATCAAGTGGAGAAAGAAATGGAAAACCTCTCTAGGATTCTTGCCAAAAAATCCTGGATGTTATTGGTGTACCAGGGTCCACAGGGTTACAAAGAGTTGGACACAACAATAGTAACCCTCCTTTTACCATCCTGCTTCCACTTTTATGGTTTCTCTTCATCTTGTTCCCTAAGACTCCCAAACCCATGTCATTTACCACTCCTTCTTTGGCTTTCTCTCCACTGTGGACACTGCTTCCTCCTTCTCTTCTCAGGGAGTCGGTATTTACACTGGTGCCATCTGCACTGAGCCATGGTAGATGTTGTCCAAGAGCCCAACACCTGAATCCTAGAGCAGCCTAGCTGAAGATGTTAACCTGAGCTTGGAGACAGAGAGCTCTCCCTATAAAGAGTCTCAGTACATTATGACCCAGGATGACCTTTGTCCTCCCTCACAATGACCCCATGAGGTCAGCAGCCTCAGGACCAATCATAGGGCACAGGACATAGGCTGAAAGATGGGCAAATAGAGTAGGAAATTCACTCAATCAGTGAGGGGAGGATTTATTTGAATCATAAAATTAAGAGCTAGAGAAGATGTGAGAAATTATCTACTGGCCCCCTCATTTGACAGATGAGAAAACAGGATTATAGAGGTAGACACTGAAATTCAAATCCAATACTTTTGCTATTTACATTCTGAGTCCACTGACACAGTGAATTGAATCAACCAATATAAATTAAGTACCCACTATGTCCTGATCACTGGATTAGGTTCTTTAGGGTGTTAAGGGAGTGGTGGAGAATGTCAAACAAGGAGAAGGCAGTCTCTATGTGAACTGGATCGTTGTAGTCTGATGGGGAACACATAAGTGAACATGAATGAAACAAAACTTTGAAAATCTACATCAAATAACTTCCAAAGGAATGCAAATGCAAATCATTTACACTGAATTTATACATTCTAAGGGGATGAGTGACCAGAGCTTGCAGGGACCCATCTGCTGCTTGTTGAAGGATCCGAGTTTTGAACTGGATTCTAAGTTGGGGAGGGGATGGCTTCTCCAAAGGCACAGAGGAAAGAAGAAGCAAGCTGTGTGTGAGTCAACACTCATACTGACGTGGCTGAGAAACGAGTCTGGGATAGTGGGGAGGGGATGTCGCCATAGAGAGTTGTGTTGATAGACCTTGGTAGCTACAGCAATTCAGTTCAACATGTCTAATATGGAATTCATCTTCAGGGACCCCTGGAAAAAATCAAAAAGAGGGGTAGGGTGGGGGATGAAGGGAGAGAGAACAGTTGACATAATGTAGCAAAAAAGAGCATGGGGCCAAGACTCAGATACAGCAAGGGTTGAGGGCTAGTTCTGAGTTTTGTATGACTTAGGACCAATCACCAAGCTCCCCAAGCCTTAGTTTTCTCACCTAGAAAATGGGGGAATAGTATTTGTACTACCTACCCCACAGGATTACTATGAATTTCACAGAATCAAAGACCTAGAGCTGTAATGGATATTAAAAGTAATTCTAGTCAACCCTTTCATTTGACAGATGAGAAAACCGATGACTAGAAGGATTAAATGAGTAGCCCAAATGTGCTGTGATTCTAGTCTAGATCTTCTGACTCCCATTAAAATGAGACAATAACTCTGAAATTATTTGAAACATTAAAAGCACTATGGGGTGTGAGGATTATGATTCTTTCTCCATATCTTAGTGTCCATGAGGATTAAGGACCAGGACTTTTAAATAGGTAGTCTTTGGCCCTTGGAGCCGCTATTCCAAATCTGTTATGTGTCCTACCCCCATCAAGGATACAGGCCATAGGAATGATAGAATCCATGAGGATCCTGTGGCTCTTACAGGCAAATCATTGGAAGAACATTTGCTAGTCAATCATTCCTCAAGGCTCTAGAGATGCAAATGTTTATTGTCTGAGTTAGAGACGCCAAATAAGCTGCCTGTTCCCAAATGCAGAGAACCAGATTAAAATATAATTGAGAAATATTTAACCAAATAAATAAAAATAAAGCATAGATAATATTAGTATGTGGTTTTCTAAGTCAACATGTGCCGGTAGGAATCTTCATGTACCAAGCCAATGGTTAACTAGGTAGTGCGGTGGACAGGGAGCCAGGCCTTGAGTCAGAAAGACCTGAATTCAAATCTGTCCTCTGATACTAGTTGTGTGGCCCTGGGCAAGTCTCTTCACCCTGTTTGCCTCAGTTCTGTCAACTGTAAAACGAGATGGAGAAGAAATGGCAAACCACTCTAGTACCTTTGCTAAGAAAAGCCAATAGGTCTATGAAGAGCTGGACACAACTGAAATGACTGAGCAACAAAAAAACCAAGCCAGCAGATGTCTAGGTCAAAGAGAGGAATGGAGAGAGTTACAGGTGCTTCAGGCAAAATGGCGGCCAGTCTAGTCTTCTCATTCCTTTCCTTTACCCCAACATTGCTCCAGCCCTCCCACACCCAATGCCCTGATGAGTTCTCTTTATTCCTCCCCATGAAAACTGACTCTTAGGAAAAATTCTGCATGAGGTCATTCACACTGAGCTGTTACTAAGTGTGGTAAGTCTGAAAGTGTGGTCTCTCCCAGGATGTCTGAATTGAAAAAGAGATAATTAACTCCTTAAGCTAAAGGAATTGACTAACATCGGGGAGTTTTAGGTCCCTCTAAGCAGAAGGATCCAGGCAAGGCCAGTATTTCTCAGGACTGAAATCACACTCTGAAAGTAGCAACCTGCCCTGCCGCAGAGTGCAGGGCAAATGAATGCTATGTATTGCTATCCTACTACTTTTCATGTTAGAGATCAGTTTAGAGCCAGGTGTTAAAAGTTGAGGGGGGAGGGAGGGCCAGAAGGGGACCTCAGAGGGTCGTCTATGTCAACCGGACTCCTAACAAGGGGTCATCCAGCTTCTTTTTGGAAGCCTTTAGCAATGGCATTTTGCCGTTCCTCACATATGCCAGCCTGTTTCTCGTCCTTGGACATTTTCTCTGGCTGTCCCCTGTGCCTGGAACGTCTCTCTCCTCATCTCCGCCTTCTACCTCTCCCGGCTCCCTTCGAGTCTCGGCAGCAGGCTCCTTGCAGACGCCTTTCCTAGTCCCCGTTAGCTTTAAGGCCTTGTCTCTGAGGCTGCTGCTAATTTATCTGCCTACATCTTGTTTGTACAAAGTTGTTTGCTTATACATTGTCTCTCCCTGCCCTCCCCCCCAACACACACACACACACACACACACACACACACACACACACACACACACAGTTAGACTATGAATTCCTTGAAATCAGAGACCTTTTTTTTTTTTGGTCTTTCTTTGCATGCCCAGCTCTGGGAATAGATCTTGGCACACAATAGGTACTTAATAAATACTAGTTGACTGACTGATGGGGAGATCATTTTTCTTTTCTTTTTTTTAGGCAGTTGGGGTTAAGTGACTTGCCCAGGGTCACACAGCTAGTAAGTGTCAAGTGTTTGTGGTGTGAGGCCAGATTTGAACTCAGGTCCTCTTGACTTCAGGGCCAGTGCTCTATCCACTGCACCACCTAGCTGCCCTGGGGAGATCATTTTTCAAGAATGCTTTTCTTCCTCTTTATTTCCTCTTAGTTCCTAAGCTTTCTGTGCTGTTTCCTCCCTTACCCAACATTTCTCATTTTCATACAACCTATGATCTATACTCAGAATCTATAGTGCAATTCAATTCAATTCAATTCAATTCAACAACAATTTGTTGACTTTCTACTATTTATAAGACAGCATGGAATGGTTGATAGACACACAGTCTGCCCTGGAGGCAAGAAGGCTTAAGTGCCTGACACAGTACTGGGCCAGTCACTAACTTTATCACTGCCCCAGATAACTCTCTAAGACTTGGTTTACTATCAGTTAACCTTCTTGGGTCTCAGTTTCCTCTTACATAAGGAACTTAACTCTTCCAACACTATATCTCTGAGCCTGTAAGTTATAAAAGCAGGTCATGATCTGCAGTGGTAGAATGTTTTCTTATCAGTAATTCCTTATTACAATGACATGCAGGTTCTCTCTCTCTCTCTCTCTCTCTCTCTCTCTCTCTCTCTCTCTCTCTCTCTCTCTCTCTCTCTCTCTCTCTCTCTCTCTCTCTCTGTCTCTTTCTCTCTCTCTCGGTGTCTCTCAGTCACACACACAATACATTAGGTACTGGGAATACAAAGAGGGGAGCATACAATATATGGTAATTTGGGAGTGAGAGAGTGTAAACCCCTAGTGAGGAGGAAGGATCATGAAAGGTCCAGTGTAGAAGCTAGAACCACAGCTGTGCTGAGAAGGGAGCTAGGGAATCAGAATGATAGAGCTGGAAGGGAGCTTGGCAGTGTCCCCTTGCTTTAGATTAAAGTAGTCCTTAATAATTCTAGACAGGTGAAATTTCTTTGCATGATCATGCTGTTTCCTGGAAGTTAAAACAATGCATTTCTGCTCATCTAAGGCATCCTGAGCTTCATAATGCTTTCCCTTTCCCTTTCCTGGCTTCAGCTTCTTCCTCTGTAAAATGAGGGCTTTGGAGTAGGTAGTTTCTAAGATCCTCTAGAACTGGAAAGGACCTCAGACCATCAACCCAATTTTATTTTTTACATAGTAAGACACTGAGGCCCAGAAGAGTAAAAAAGTCCCACAGAAAAGAAGTGATAGAGGTGGAATTTGAATCTGGTCCTTCTGACTTTAAAGCCACTTCTACTATAGAACACTGTCTTCCTTCATGCCTCAAGTGGGAAGACTACGGACCCAGGAAGAAAAGGTTCTGAAGGCTTTGCCCACTGAACTGTGGGAAATACAGCTTTGTTTTTAAACTCTCCTGGGGCTCATGGCTTGTATACTCAGTTCACACATGCTTCTATTTTGCAACCTTGGGAAGGGTAGCTTCTTAGCTACAGAGAGTCCTAACAAGAGAATTTTCAAATGTGCATATCATTTCTAAATGTCTCTTGCCCCTCAATGCTCTCTCTCTCCTATGAACAGCTGTCTCTTACCACCTCAGCTGTCATGTCCCTGGAGTCATTATGACAGAGTTAAAGGAGCTCCTATATCATAGTAACCAGACATATATAAAGGGACAGCAAGCCAGATTGGACTGCTTTAAGCCAACAAGTTTGTGGGGGGGTGGCGGGGAAAACTGGGACAGCCAAGGAAGCCTCTCCTTCAACAAGGACCCCGCCACAAGAGAACGAAATAAAGATGGCAACAGTCAGAGACTTCCTACGCGGCTGGCCCTTTAACAGTGAAAGTGCCACTCAGCAAAGACAGTTACCTATGTGTGGGGAAAAAGTTAGAAGACATCGGAAGAGAAAAATAGGAAGGCAAGGTATTGACTATAATTTTTGACTGAAGAGAGGATCTCAGGAAAGACAGGGTCTGTCCTAGCCCAGCCCTTTGTTTGGCAAAATTAACTGGCTTGCCAATATTTGGCCCCACCTGGCAGCATTCAATGTTTATTGAAAGATACCCTCCCCACCCCTACTTCCTCTCACTGCTTCTTGGAAAGGGACTCACTTTCCTTTCACTCAGCTCTTCTTTTCCAATTTCACAAGCCTTCCTTCTCTACCTCCCCACCCCTGCTACCAAACTATAGGCTCACATATAAACTTTGCTTAATGTTTTATCAATTATATTAGAAATGAATAAAATTTCTATTTTCCCTGATTACAAGAAAACTTTGTCCAGAGTCATTCTACCTCTAAATGTAAAATGAAGATAAAAATATTAATTCACCTTTGTAGGTGTTTATAGGCTTTATAGGGCTTCTAGGACTAAATGATATAATGCATATAAAAAAGTTTGCAAATGGCTATCTGAAACATTGTGAACTTTGATCAGATTACTTGGAAAGAGGTTTGTGTCCTTCCTCCACTCAATTTTAGGCTAAAGACTATGACAGCTAACTTAATAGTGAAGCCTATTTTAGAGTTCCTGTATGGAATGGCAGTGTTATGGCTGATGGTGACAAAGACTTAGATCCCATTTCTGGGAAGCATGAGTGTGTTGGGATGTCCTGATTACTGACTGGGCTGACTTAGAAGCTCATAGGTTGGACAGGTTCATCTATTAGGCCCCTCACATGTTTTCTTAGAGTCTCTTTTCTCTTTTTTTGCATCCTCAGTGTGAACTTCAGAATCTCTAAGAAGTCCCGTGCTAACAACCTGTTAGAATCTGCTCTTCTGCACATGTTGTTTTCCTCAAGTGTCTACAAAGAACCACAAACCACCATGATCATCTGCAGCTTTCTACCCCACAAGTGTCTCTGAATAAACTTGCTTTCTCATCCCTGTCTTTGCATGTCAACTTGTGTGTTATTTTGGGGAGTTGGTTTGGACCAATGGGTTTTTTTAGGCAACTCAGTCATTGGAATGACCTTTTCATCCTCAGTTTAACTGAGAAGTAGAAAGGAGACACCTCATACACCTTCCATGTCATATACAAAAAAGATCATACTTCACATGCATCATAATGAGGAATTTTCAAAGCCAATGAATATAGTCATTAATCTCATTTGGTCCTAGAGATTAGCCTCTTGAGAACAGATGGTGCAAATTTGTTCTTATTCCCATTTAATTGAATATGAAAATGACATACAAGATCACATATCTAGCAAAGTGATGTCAAAGTAGGGTTTGAAAACACTGGCTATTCCAATCCGTCCTTATTTCAACTATTGTTAGTTGTGCCCACGAAGAGGTTGTTTTTGAGAGTCAGAAGCAGGATTTGAACCTAGGTCAACATGAGTCCAGGGGCCACTCTCACTATATACCACATCACAACAGCCTCATAATTGTTGTGCACTCCTACAACTACTTTAAGTCAAGAGTAAAGATAATCTTAACTAAAGCAATTACTTAGCCTCCTATGTAGTAGTTAGTGGCTTTTTGGGGAAATTAATCTAAAGATGAATAATGAACAGGACATTACCTGCCTGAATGGAACTTTACAGGCTCGTGGAAAATGGGAAGATAAAAGAAAGGGTTCTGTTGGGACAAGATGATAGAAGCCTCACTTCAACGTGCTCTGTAAGGAATTTGGACTTAAACAATGTGGTGGCATCAAAGATTTTTGCAAAGAGGGTGAGGATAGGAAATGACAGGACTTCAGGGTTATCAACATTTATTAGTACAGTGGCTGGGAAGTCATAAACCCCTGCCAAAATGTACCTTTAAGCATAGGACAGAATTCAAAGCAAATTTTAATAAAATGGAACAGTAAGAAAAATCACAATGAGATGTTTCTCAAATGAACCTGAGATGTACTCTCATAAATAATGGTATATTAGCAGTAGGATAGAGCGCAAACCTGGAGAATGTGGGTAGAGAGGCATACACATGTAGGGAGACATATCCAAAGCACATATATGTATGAACACACAGGACATTATATACATGTGCACACACAATACACATATACACACATGTATGTAGTATGTACATGCTTGTGTATGACTGAATAACAACAACAACACACGCACACATACATAAACACATACTTTTGAAGATGCTTCAGGATGTTGCTGATCGCTTTTCTAGTGATGGACATTGCTCCGTTCCTCTGACTTTAGTCTCACTGATAGGCTCTGCTCCTTCCTATTCTTATAGTCACTGCTACATATGTTATTTGACTGTAGTCTTGGTTACACATGCCATTTGACTCAAAGCCTACCATGGCAATATTGAATTTTAGAATAATTAGCTAATTTGTATGAATTACCCTATTACATAAACCTGCCTCACTAAGAGATTTCATTTTGATTATAGTTCATTATTGAACATTTTTGGTAAATGACATCTATTTTCTTTTTTAAAGGCTTATCCATATCTTTTGTTTTTACACCACATTCATTTCCTAATGTTACTATCTCAACTCTCCCAGAACGGACATTAGTGAACAATCTCTCTTACAACAAAGAAAAACAGGTTAAACAAAATCAGTAGGTCTAGTGTATATTTGATAGTATATGAAACATTCGCCACCTACATGCCATCATTCCCCCCAATCTTCCCATGGAAATATAGTGTGACTATTGTTACATTTTCTTTTTAAAAGAATTTTTATTGATATCTTTTGTTTTGTTTACATCACCAGAATTTCTCCTAGTATTCCTTCCCTTTCATCCCCGGAGAGCTCTCTCATATAACAAGCAATATTTTTAAATGAAAAAAAAAGCAAAAAAAGCAGCCAAACTGATAACATTGAAAAGGTTTGAAAATGCATGCAATATCCTGTAAACCCATGGTCCTCCCCTCCCACATCTACTAAGGACTGAGGGTCGAGGAGTCTTCTCATTTCCTTTCTTGGGGCCATGCTTGTTCTTTGCATTTTTTCCAACATTCACACCTTTACATTGTTGCAGGTCATCATGAATATTGTTTTCTCATCAAAGCTTACTTCACTATGTATCAGATCATTCTAATGTCTTTCCATGCTCCTCTGAAATCATCAGATTTATTATTTCATGTAGCACAGTGATTTCCCCTCATGTTTATATGCACAATGTGTTTAGCCATTCTCCATTTGATGGGCATCTGTTTTGTTTCCAAATCTTTGCTACTACAAAAGTTCTCCTATAAATATTTTTGGTGTGTTTATGAGACTTTTTTCTTATCAGTGACCTCTTTTGGGTATAAGCTTACTAGTAGAATTTTTGAATCAAAGGTAATAGAGAAACATTTCAGGCACTTTATTTTTACAGTTCATTTCTACATCTCTGAGACCAAGATCGATCATTGCAATTACATAGTACTTGGTTTCATTTCAGTGTTCTTTTCCTTTATGTTATTGTAGCTATTGTGAATATTTTATTTCTAGGTTCTGTCTATGTCTCTTCATCAGTTCATGTAAGTCTTCCCAACTTTCTCTAAATTCTACATATCCATTATTTCTTATAGTGCAATAATATTCCATTGCATATCTACATATAGATATGCTTCATTTTTTTTCAACCGTTTCTCAATTAATGAAATATAAATCCTCTAGTAGATATTAGAAGACCTGAAGTTCTCTTTTTTCCCTTAGTATAATCAATTTAACAACAAAAATTTATTGTGCATATGGTACAAAGCACTACAAGCACTACAATTGATTTTCATGAGCCAATAGAAAAAATAGCTAGAGGAAATGATGAGCAGGCAGACTTCAGAAAAACCTGGAAAGACTTACATGAACTGATGCTGAGTGAAGTGAACAGAACCAGGAGAACATTGTATACGGTAACAGCCACAATGTGCGATGACTAACTTTGATAGACTCATCTATTCTTTGCAATGCCAGGATCTAAGACAACTCCAAAGGGCTCCTGATGGAAAATACTGTCCATATCCAGAAAAATATCTATGGAGACTAAATGCAGATCAAAGCATATTATTTGCCCTCTCTCTCTTTTTTCCTTTTTTTTTTCCTTCTTTCTCATGGTTTATCCCATTGGTTCTAATTCTTCTTTACATCACGACTAATGTGAAAATAGGTTCAATATGAATATATATGTAGAGCCTATATCAAATTACATGCCATCTTGGGGTAGGGTGAAGGAGAGATGAGGAGAAAATTTGGAACTCAAAATCTTATGGAAATGAATGTGGAAAACTAAAAATAAATAAATTAATTAATAAAAAGAAAAGAAAAAATAGCTAGAAAACCAATTCTGACCATAAGAAATAATAATAACAATAGCTGGAATTTATATAATTTTAGATTTGCAAAGCCCTTCATGTATTACATCATCTTATCTTCATAACAACCTTAGAATTAGTTATTGTTATTCTCTTCATTTTATAGATGAAGAAAACTGAGAAAGACAAGTTGAAAGAATTACCGACAGGGTCACACAGCTAGTAAGTACTACTCATTTTGTGAGTCAGAATGTAAACCATAGCTCATGAGCCCCTACCAATGTGTTTAGATATTTACCAGATAGTTATGATACATTTAGTTCACAACAAAGGCATTTCAATTAAAATAACAATCTAAATGTAACACCCCCCCAAAAACATTCCTGTGTTCCTGATTCTCTCACCCGCCATAAAACTTGAGTTTACTCTTTTCCATAAATACACACACACACACACAAACACACACACATACACAATGTAAATAGGTCACCTTCATGAAGGGAACAGGATGACCAAGATAGATGCATGGAAAGCCAACTGACATCTCTGATGTGATGCAAAGTTGCCAATGTCTCCTGATATCATTTTTATGCTGCTCTGCTGTATCTTGCTGGGGTGATATAAATTTGCTCTCTCTGCTGATTCTTGGGTCTCTTGGTGCTTCTCAGCTCCTTTTTCTTGACACTTATGCTATTCCATACCAGTTGTCAAGATATGTGAGAGTCTTCAGAAGTTCTAGCTTTTTGAATTCAGGTCACAAACTGCATGATTTACATGAATAGTGTGAAATGCTATTTCTCCAGCACTTTCAGCCATGTCTACCTAGTTGTACACAATTAAAATGACTCAACAATAAAAATCATCCATTCAAGATTGTTATAGATAATGTTTATCAAGGGCTTGTATCCAATTTCACTGTGCCTCATTTTTAATTCTCTGTTGAGTTGTTATCTTCAGGGCCATCTGAATCTTTGCCTCCATCTACTAGAGTAAAATCACATCCATAACCCTACAGTCAAGTTATCATCTGGGTGCTAGTGACTTCCCCTTAAACTACCTTTCATCTCCTCTGTGTATATCTTGGATGTACCTACTTAATTACGTGTTGTCTCCTCCGTTAAAACGGGAGTTCCCGAAAGGCAGGCGCCATTTTTGTTTTTCTTTGTCCCAGCACTTGGTATCAGTATACTCGGCACATTAGTAAATAAGCACATAATAAATGAATGCTTATTGATTTAAACATTCTCAGCTAACAAGAACCTGTTATTGAGTTGTTTCAGACTCAGCAAGAGTTTTCTTGGCAGAGATACTGGAGTGCTTTGCCATTTCCTTCTCCAACTCATTTTACAGAGGAGGAACTGAGGCAAACAGGGTTAAGTGACTTGCTCAGGGTCACACAGCTAGTGTCTGAGGCAAAATTTGAATGCAGGTCTTCCTGACTCCAAGGCCCTGGTAGCTCTATCCATTGTGCCACCTAGCTGCCTTAAGCTCTTTTAAGCCAGGCTTTTCAACATTGACTAGGAAAGGTCTCTTCAGTTCTTCTCAGTCCTTCTTTTCATCCAATAACTGTGATAGATAGTCCTTTCTTAATCCAGCTGCTGAACCAGGATTGGGGCAGTCTGCTGAGAGACAATCCTTCAAACTCTTAGAATTTCTCTATTAACTGCTAAATTCTGA